GAAGCTCTTCATCTGTTTATTTTGTTATTTTGTACCTCAACCATTAGGAGAGACCTGTTCTGCATGACACTATAGTTTAGGCCTTAAAGGTGCTTTTTCCTGAATTTACACACTGCAATAAGTGACATCTCCAAGCATAATGGTTCAGCATTTCATATCACAGAAAACGTCAATACTTCAGTGCCAAATCAGAGTGAAGTGAACAGTGAGCATCAATGACGTCAAAAGTATAATTTTTGACTTGGGTCATAATTCCCCATTTAGAGTTCCAGTCGTCACTTAAAAGATAAGTCACACTCTAGACTGAGAAAGTGTTTCACCAAGAAAATTCCTGAGCTGAGTATGCATTGATGTTCAGACGTGCAGCTATCTTTGAAATTTATATAGCATGAGGCCCTGAGAGACAGAACTGTACATTTGAAAGCATTTACTATAACCATTCAAATTTCTAAACGAGCAATTATTACTTTAATTTCGGCGATTATGTGATTCGAAGGCTTATTACAAATCAGTTACAGATTCACCTCCAACTCCATGTCAGTGATGAGACGTGTAAAAAAAGAAAGATACATAGATCTCACTGCAACAGTACAGGGAAATTAAATTACTTGGAGCAGAAACTTACACCTGCTAATAAACAAAAAATTACATAGAACACACAGCTTATCTGATTATTTTAAAAAGGTCACCTATCCAAAAAAGATTCGATCATACCACAAACTTAGCTCTTACAGCAGGCATACACAAGAGGAATGAGAAAACCCCCAGAAAAAAACAGTTAACCCTCTGAATTACAGTAAATTTTCCATCTAAAAATTGGGAAACTGAGAATAGGCTAACGTTGAAATATTTCATGCAAAATCAATTGAAAGAAATCACAATTTACGAGGTGAAAAGCAGGCAAACAACAACAAAAAAATAAATAAATAAATAAATTTTTTATACAAATAGCATTGTTTCGACTCCACTTAGATCCAAAAGCTGAACCACCCGATCCATTCAAAAAAATCTCAAATTCCGCACTTATAATCCCACGAAACATCAAATTCCAACGATAACAAGACCCTGCCAACGTGATCACTATATATAATTACATGCATCTCTATATACATTCAACCATACGCATACATATCCAACAGAAGTACAAAAAAAGACGTACCTTTTAGAAAAAAATGCGATGACGGGAAACAGAACATTGTGGATTCTCATTCTGAATCACTTTTCCTTAAAAAGTTCGAAAATTCGAATGCTAACTTTGATCAATTGTGGGTTTTTCTGAATTTCAATTTTTCTTTTGGAAAAACAAAAAGCAAACAGCAAATGATTGGGATTGATTACTGAATAGAAAAAAATAAATAAAATCAATGATTGATTGAAGAATGATAAAAAGGATAAAATTAAAAATGGAGCAAACTTTTTAATAAAACCTCTGGTACGGAAACCTAGAGAGAGAATGGGGGTTGGGGGTGGAGGTGTAACAGTGAGGTTGAGCTTTATATATATACTATGTGGGCAGTGATTGTGGCTGAGGTAGTGGTGATTTGTTGGCAAAGACTGGTGGTTTTTTCATGTGTGGTGACGCTGCACGAGATTAATGTGGACTCTCCATTTTATATATTTAGAGTTTATTTGAGAGAGATTTTAATCTAATTAAAATTAAAAATATAATCGTTATTGGGTCTCACTCATTAATAAAAGTCAACAATAACGATTTTTTTTTTTAATTTTAATCCAATTTTAATCTCTACCAAATAAAATATTTAATTATGACAATTATTTTAATAATTGTAGAATCTAGGGTTAATACCCTAAATAGTCTTTGAACTTTTTCGAAAGTTCCCAGGAGATCACCAAACTTCGAAAGTTCCCTAAATAGTCACTGAACTTTACAATAAGTTCCTAGGAAATCACTGAACTTTGTTAATACCCTAAATAATCACCGAACTTTGCCAAAACCTCCCAAGAGGTCACCGAACTTTGTAAATTAAGACCCCATACATCAATGGTTCATTGATCAATTAGGAATTTTTTGCAAAGTTGAGTGATTATCTAGGGAAGTTTTGGTAAAGTTCGGTGACTATTTAGGATATTGACGAAGTTCAATGACCTATTAGGAACTTCTTGCAAAGTTCGGTGACTATTTAGAGAACTTTTGAAGTTTGGTGACCTCTTGGAAACTTTTGACAAAGTTCGGTGACTAGTTAGGGTATTAACCCTAGAATCTAGCGTACGAAATATGTCTATACTAATGCACTAGAATGGTCTTTTGATGACTTTAAAAGTAGATGAAAATAGAACTGTTCTATGACATAAATTCAACTCATTTTAATCATAAAAATGGTACTAGGATCGTTTCTCATACTTATCTCTAGGAGTCAAATTGTGTTGTGACTTTCTAAAACCAAATTACGTAAAGAAGAGCACAGCCTTAACAAAGGCTATAAAATCAAACTAAATGAAGGTCAAAAAAGCCACAACATTAACTAAAATGTCTTCATTTGTTCAACTAAATGATAACATATAGTTGAATTCAGCTCTGATACGTCCTATCAACATAGAAAGCTTACCCTATTCCACGCATTATCGGTGGATGCTAAACGAGATGTTTATCCAGGCATCGTAACCATTCGGCCTGAATTTAATTAGTACCAAGAACTTGCTCTTATTTCGAATTCAGAGATCTTGAAACCCTCGATTCATACCATAATCGTCCCCTTCTAGCCATTAAAGGAAGCTCGTTGTTAAAAAGTTGTGTAGTTGACTCGTAGAAGGATCAACTTATTTATGAATAATATGGAAGTAAAATGAAGACTCTACTTGCATGATTGAATGCACTTAGATGTTTTTGTGAACCTTGTATACACACATTCAAGGCTGATCACAAAAATCGTACTAGTGTTGATTTTTCACAATTCTCTTTAACATTAATGATAGATATGAGTCAAATAATTTCCTGGCATTCTAAATTCAAATCACGTGAAGAGCAAAATCCTAATAGTTGCGTAGTTGTCTCTATAATACTAATGGTGGAGAGGAGTCGAACTATGTTATGACGTTCTTTAAACAAATCACGTGAAGAAGAGCGAAATCTTAACGGATGCTATGAATTGAGATTAAATGAAAGTTGGACAAGCCATGGGCAGTAATGGAGATATCTTCATTAAAATTTTGTGTGAGATAATGTGTACTTAAATTCAGCCCTACTGGGTAGAAAAATTTTCATTAAAGGAAGATACGCGTTAAAAAAAATGGGTATTTTACTCGCAAAGGAAGAAACTTATTTATGAATAATATTTTTTTTTAGAAAAGTGAAGACTCCACTTGCACGATTGAATGCACTTAGATGTTTTGGAAATTATTACTACTTGAGTTAGTCAAATGTGGAGAAAATAGAGTGTGATTGAAGTGCTTAGATGAGTATAAAATGTTCGTATTTATCAAGTATACAATCATAAATAGTAAATCGACGATAGAAGTGATCAAGTTCTCCTTAATTTTGTTATAATACAACGCGAGTTCTGGAGTTGAGGAAAGATGCTACATTCTTGGTGCAATAAATTAGTCGTTATGAAAGAAAATGGGTAAAATTTTCTTTGTTGCCTCATTTCATTTCAACGCAGAGGTTAATACGGGATATATATGTAAGTATCGAAGTAATCGTTCAATTTCTCTTTAAAAAAAAATTGACACGATGCATGCAAATAGGAACTATCCAAAATTTCAGCAAATAATTGATGAAGGGTAAGAAAAATCAGTGTAGAATATCATCCAATATAGACAACAAATTCTGTGTCACTCGTGATTATGAGATCAGATTTTCCACAGTTTGGTGCACTTATTCAAGATTTTATTGAGTTTGAATAATTTAAGGCTGCCTCCATACCCAAGTGGAAACTCCCAAATGTACATAAATGACTTGATTAAAAATTTTAAAAAGTAATGTGATGATTGAGGATATGACTTTAGTATTGAAGGAAATGTCAACAATATGAAGCCTTTTATGAGGTGACCTGACTTACTAATCCTTTGGTAAGACCCGCATAGAAATATGTCACTGACGTTAGTAAAGCCAAAGCAACGGTAGTATTTTTATCATTCGTGAGTAGAGCACGTGGTGCACAATAAGACGGTATTACTTTTTGAAAGTTTAAGCAATGATCTATTCTAGGGAAAGTAGATTTAATGATTGGTTTCAGTTGCTTAGATACTGCAGACAGTGTTTTTTATGGTAATTAGGGGTTGCAAAGAAATAACTTTTCACTATCTAAGCGCCCTAGTAGGAAGGGTCCCATGGACTTCTTCCCTGAAGATCAAGCCGTAGTCCCTAGTCTAAGGCCAACTACGTTCTCGCATGAAGAATTAAGGACACCCAATTTTGGGAAACAATAGCTCCATATGGGCTAGATAGTAGGTATGAAATTAGAGAGAGAGCCGAGATGGGGGTGGGAATTACCCGTTTGCAGCTTCTCTACTGAGGATTTTCACCCAAGCGCTTGGTGTTAGCCAAGAAGAGAGGACTTGTTCTCTGGATGAGCTTACCGATACTCATTCTTCTTGAGAAATCGACCCCAGTTGAACTCAGACTAGCGAGTAACGCAAGCTTTTGAATAGTATTACCATGTACGAGGGAAAGAGGATATTTACCTCTTCCTTTTTCTACTACTCAAAAACTCGAGAATAAACAGATCATTATCCTTGCCGGTGAAATTGATAACCATAAACACAATTACGATAGATACAAACAAGAATTCGCGCCACTGTTTTTCCCCAACAACAAAAATACAAATACAAATCAGAACATGAATTGGGATTCTGTAGCTTAATTGATATCTTCTAAACACCTACTTCTGCCTCTTGTATATCTTCCCCAAGGACTTCAACACAGCCTGAACTGCTGTACTCGGCTGAGCTTCAATCGAGCTCGTTAATCTCTCATAAATCTTGTTTTCATAATCTTCAAACAAGCCCTTAAGATCGATATCATTATAAAGTTCCTTAACTTAGGCTACATCAGCTGCATCTGCTTCGCCATAATGCTCCTGGTGATAAAAATGCAGGTGTTAATGTAATTATTCATCTGATATGAACAGACTGACAGAATTCAATTAAATTGCTTCTTACGAATAAAATTTTCTTTTGTTCTTCATTGCAATGTTCCAAGGCTTTTACAACGAGCCGTGAACACTTGAAATTTTCAATATCCGTTCCAATCTGATGAGGCATAATGATGAAGTAAGAACAGATAGCAATCACGACGTACAAATTGCAAGACTATTTCGATGTTAGAAATGGAAAGAAAAGGAATTCACATTTCCGATGTTTACAGGATCTCCGAAGGCAATCTAAGTAATCGTCCTAAATAAACAGAAAACACGTTACACCAAGGATATAATGTCAGTAAATTATTGGTTTATTGCTTGCATTTAACCATATACATATGAAATGACAGAAATGGAATGCCAATCCTCAGGCTTCATTTGTACACTTTGCAAAGGGCGACATTTTGCACATATTTGGTAGAGATTCTTTAAAACTCATTTGCAACAACAAAGTCTCCCAATAAAATAATTTTGAACGTGAACCCATAATTTTTTTCTCCATTTTTAACCGAAATCATTTTCAGAAAATCTGTTCTCAAAAATCTACGTCAAAAGCTCTTTGTAACAGTCAAAATTAACAAAAATCTCATAGAAGTTGAAAATTCTTGTAGTACAAAGCATGGAGGACCGGGATCGCTATTCTTCATGTCTACATGGTAGTCTAAGCTCTCACCAGCCATAAGCAATGCACAAGCAACCTGCGTAAACATCAGGAATTAGAAATTGTGACAATTCAATAACATCATTTTCATGACAACTTTGGATTAGTAGACTGACAGATTAGTCACTAACTAACCGGAAGGTAAAACGAGTAGTAGGCAGTCTTATATTGAACAATTCGCCGATGACTGCAAACAATCGAGCAATTAAATTAATTTATCAGAAGATACAAGAAAATTTGGGGACTGAGTTATGAAACTGCATAAGAACATGCGATTTTACAAATTTTCCGACTCACAGTTGCAACGAGTATTTTGATAGGTCTTTTTCTCCTTCAAGAGTTGTAAATTGTAATAAAATCAATCATCTGTCCTGAAGCAGTTTGGAACTCAACCTAAACACACAAAAAAGAAAATTTTAAATTTAGCATATCTAAACAAGAAAAATGATTAATCAGGGAACTCAATTGTCAGTATACTTCATTGAACAAATCTACTAGATCCACATAATAATGCCTTTCTCTGAAGTGCTTCTTCAGAATTCGAGCAATGTGGTTCCGAAGTATGATTCCATCATTTAATGCAATTAGACCAACCTAAAACACGAAAATCATTCAAGATGATACACTTCTGGTGACAATCCTTCGACAAATCAGGATACGAAATTGAGGGAATTCACATTCAGCAAGAACCTTGGGCAATCGAAACCAACATGGTTGACCACGTCTCATATCAGAACCATCCATAATATCAAGAAAATATGCCTGAAGCTGCAATTTGAAGGGAAAATGTAGCTTAGATCCTGCTGCCAAAAAAACAGCCAACCAGAAGCATTTCTAGAAGTTATAGAAACCACTGTCAACTTACCCATTCAATACACCAACCGAGAGCGCTAGCAAGAAAAACTTCATCCCTGGTTAGCTCTTTGCCTTCTTTTAGCAACTTGTAGCTATCGATAACAGACGAACCTCGGTTTAACTTTCCTGCAAATAACAGTGCATTCTGGCAATTATTAGCACGAAATGCTGAACTTTATTCTCATAACATGACTAATACAAACATATGCATTAGTCGACTAGACAAGACTAAACAGTATAACGAATACTTAATATCATTTTCTTTCTTAATAATGTCCAGTGTAAATGACTCATGTCTAACCTCCACGTATTCTGTATAATTGCATTATTACTTCCCGACAAATACGTTACTTGTCATGTGACCTTTTTGAAAGAAAGTATGTCTCATTTCAAATTTTTAAATATCTAAACAAAAAGATAAGTAAAATATAATTTTGTGAAGTTGGACGTGTGAGTCACGTGATAATTTTACAGAAGTTTAGACAATTTCGCCATTTAGGATTGATTGTGTAGGTATAAGGAAACATTAAGAACTAACTTACTACTATAACAATAGATTGAGAGCTACCATTTTATATTGGAAGGACATTTTTTTTAAAATTAAGCGCTTGTTTGATAAAGATTTTTTGAGAAATAATTCTTTGAAAAATGCATTTTTTGGTAAATGTTTGGTTAAAAAGTATGAAAACGATATGTAAAAATCATTATTTTTTAAAGAATATGTAACTGAACATGAGCGTGGAAGAGAAGTTATTCTCAAATAATCAAAATCAAACGAGTACTAAGTAGATTACACATCCTTAGGGTTCACCAAAAACCAACTAGGTGTTTACACGTGTGGGTTGGTGGTGTGCCCGCTGTCTAGTTTTAAATAACTCGTCGCTTTATTTGATCATTGACTTAATTTTCATGCATAACGCAAGCATGGGTTACGAATCCTAATAATTTGCATAATATCGCCTTTGTTTAGCAAGTTACTTATAAATAGTTTATAAATTCAATCAAAGTGAAGCATTAATTCATTATTATCCACACATTTTATTTTTCTGCTACTTCTAATTAAACACATAAAACGTGTGCCTAATATATGTAATTAATAGTTTTAGAGTATGGAAGTTGGCACGATTTTATGAACTGATCTCGGTCAAAATTGTTCAGCCCGGTCCAACTATGACGGCTTTCAGTGTTTGATGAGATTACCGGCCGAATTTTATTTCGATTTTGGTCCAAGAAAAGGTTTCGTAAAAAATAATTTAAAATGTATTCGTTAGTTGAAAGTCTTAGTAGGTCGAATTCAAATAAGTTCAATCCAGCATTTGGGGATCTTTCTATACCCAATTTTGTTTGGTAAAACTCCGTTTAAAGGATCCGATAATCAAGCACGACAACAGCCTCTTCAATTCCCACAGTCGCCCAATGTCGGTTTGCTACTCGTGGATCTGATTAGGGTTTCCAAGGAGTGATTTGGGCATTGATACGCTATGCTACACCTCTCGATATCGTAGAATTCGAGAAAATCACTGATCCAATAGCATCAGTCAAGAGTATTGCTATTTAGAATCACTGGTGTTAAAACATCAATTTATACGACACTAATGTGACATTATAAATGAAATGTATAATTAAATTAATCACTTAATTCTACTTCTCATTGAGCTAATCATTTAACGCCACTTAGACTGGTGTTGGAGCACCGATGACACTAGATAACATTATTCATCAATCAATGGAAAGACTGACGGTGCAGCAAATTTCCCAGATCAAAAGGCTTTAGGTTAAGGAGAACAAATTTTATAGACAATAAAGGATGTTAGATGATCATTTGGATGGGATTCCTTTAAATGGTAGATTGTGTAAAGTTGTATATTTCTTCTCGCTGTCTGCAACAGTTCATGACCTCAGAATTGTACTATGTATACTTCATGATAATTTCTAGAAAGTATTCTTGAATTTGAAACATAGTAGGACCAAATTTAGATGAGCCCTCAAACATAGAAGTTACAACTACTCAATTTTATCACATAGTTCTCTTAATCTCGTCTAAGTGTGTCTAGTCCAGTATATCGAATCACAAAGTTAGTTTCTTTATGTCTAATGTACTAACTTGCTGCTTTTTGCATCACCAAGAATCATAATTGGAGTTGATCCCAACAAGTTATCCCTGGTATTCTATTTTGTACAGATCCAAAAATAAAAAATTCAAAGAATTCAGGTGTCGTCACACGTGTGATATCAGATAAACATAGAAAAGATCAGTAAAAAGTAAAATACTTAGGACTGATGACTATATAAGCATGTGACAAGTACAAACATTTATGGAGACAAGTTACAATATTCAACTAGTAGTACGAAGAGAGTATTAAGAGATATGTCTGTATAACAGGCAGATAGTGCAACAGAAACTTTTTCGATTTCATATCATAGAACGTGCCACCCAAGACACTGGCCTGCAATATGTAAAATTTTCCATGTTCAGAACAATTGAATAATTCATGAGAATTTGTTACATGAAATTAATAGAGCACACAGATAAAAATGCTATTGATACGAAAATTGTTTATCAGATTTGTAAGATTAGTCAAGATTTAGTTTCATTTCACAAGAATTTGCTTGTTGCTCTCTACAAGCTAATTCATAGAGCAAGTACTCTCTATGCATGTCTGGTATGCTGTATTAGACAGGATTAGACTGTTAAAACAAAAAAAAAGAAGTTAAAATCTTGTTTATAAAAATATCTAGTCCCGTCCACTACTGCTTATCAAACACACTGCTAAAAACTCATGGGCTGATTACTTGTAGAAGTCGAGCAAAGCAACAAATCCTTAACTAATTGAATAAGACAAACCATAACAATTGTGAAAGAAAAAACTTACATGAGTTCTATAACAACAGAAGATGCACCTCCTCCACCATTGCAGACTGCAGCAACCCCAAATTTTCCTTTTTTCTGCCTCAGCACCTGCAAAACCATCAAAACTTGTGGGGGCGGGTTTCTTTCTTTCTACTTTCATAATTCTTTGTATTTTTACTTATATTTTTTTTGGTTGGGGGTGCGGAGATCCATGGGTCTGGTTGATAAATCAGGATGTAAACCTGTAAACATTGCTGTAATTTCACAACAAACTAACTTCGCACAAGCAGAGAGCATACCCCTAACAATGTGACCAATATTCGAGCTCCACTACAACCCAAAGGATGTCCCAAAGACACAGCGCCACCATGCGCATTCAGATTTTCCTACAACATGAATAGGTACTATGTTATGAAACAAAGTAATTAAATATTCATGGGCAAATTAAACAATGTGGAGAAGAAAATGGGAAATCGACAAAAGATACATTATATCTTGAAATAAGCCTCCTAACTAGTCAAACTAGGCCTAATTGCAGAGTGCAGAGAGGAAGCTACAGACTCACAGGGTCAATATTGAGCATCCTTTGATTAGCAAGAGCCACAACCTGTATTTATGAAATCAGAGTTTTGTTGGATAAGCAAGGTCCAGAATATCAATAAGTGTTGCATAGATCCTTACCGAGAAGGCTTCATTTATTTCGTAGTAATCAATATTAGATGCTTCCAATCCAGAATTTGATATTGCTTTCGGTATTGAGAGGGCTGGAGCAGTTGTAAACCATTCTGGAGCCTGCCCAAGCAATCTAGTTGCAGCAGTAATATATGAACCCAACAAAATCGAGATTGTTACATTCCTCACATACCTGAGCTGCATCAGCATAGCCCCTGATTTTGGCAACCACTTTTATTCCTAATTTATGTGCCATTGCTCCACTCATTAGTACAAGTGCAGCAGCCCCATCACTTTGCAGAGAACCGAAAGACAGTAAGATGACAAGCAATAAACATGTTGAAAATAACATTTAAATGATATACATTTGGCACTATCTAACAACTTAATCTTTTAAATCAAGTAATGCAACATGGTATCAGAGCTTAAGGTCTTGAGTTCAAATCTCGCTGCTGCCCATTTAAATAAATTGTCCATGAGTCAGACTTTGATTGGAAAAAATAAATCCGGCCTACACAAGGGGCATGTTGAAGATATTATTTAAATGATATTCATTTGGCCCTATCTAATGGATCAAAACATAATATGTACAGAAAAACAGACCAACGGAAGAAATGATGATAGTATGGTGTTGGACCACCTTATCCAAGAGATAAAGCGGTTAGAGGGGACAAGTCATAAATTTAGACTTCAACATGTCCCCTCACGTGCATGCTGGATTCTATTTTTCATCAAATGCCTAAAGTGTGCAAAGTTTCCATAAATGCAGTAGAACTTGATCCCAGGACCATTACTCGCTCTAATAGCTCTTAGATAAGGTGGTTCAACATGTTACATCCATGCCAGACAAGTGGACTTGCCCAAGACACACAATAAGGACAAGAAGACTCGTTGATGGACAAACACGTGCACACTACACGCAGACACACGTGCAAGCATGAGAGAGGGGTGAATGAAAGCAGACAAACACACACTCACACAGAGAGAGAGGGAGAGGAAGGAACCTTATACTAGATGCATTGCCAGCAGTAACAGAACCCCCGTTTTCCTTGAAACTTGGTCGAAGCTGTCTTAATCTAGATGCATCAAACTGGCAAGATACAACATAAAGAATTTAGAGAGAGAGAGAGAGAGAGAGAGAGAGAGAGAGAGAGTCCATATTACAATTATTTGAACTTTTTCACACAACTAGGACACCTCAGGATCATCTCTGTTTACTTAATACAAGGGAAAATAGAAAAATACCCCTACAATATCACTGCATCCAAAATTGTCTATTTATCTATGAGAATGAGTTTTTCTTTTAGTGAGATGAACGTGATAACATAGAATATCAGTTATCAGAAATTGCAGTAAATAACAACATTTTTATTTCAACTTACTAACTAGAAGAAAAATCAGAACTGCTGGAATAGGCTTCAAAGGTAAACAAAATAAATCTGAAGAGTTAACATGATATTTCATGCTTGCTGGTCAATTTTCATCATGTTTTCATCCTCCATGCACACAATCACAAGGCAAAAAGAGGTAAATAAAATATTATACCTAATATTTAAAAGCATACCAGATCTAACAAAGAACTTTTAAAAACTCAATACCAATCTATTTCATTTTATTCACCTTTCCTAAACCTTCATCCTTGTCAACAATGATAGTTGGTTTCCCTCTTCCGCTAGAAACTTCAACCTGTATGTTTGATTCAAACTTTATTCAAAAAAAAAAAAGGAAAAATAGCCACTCTTAGCACATCATTGCAAGTTTCCATGAGTCACGAATCTTGCCGGAACTATCTCCCATGTAAATGCACCACTAGTTTGTGCAGCAATTCCACGTTCAAAACTTTGAATAGCATAAGAATCCTGGAAAAGAGAGGTTGATAAAGCAAAGTAAAAAGTCAAGACACTGAGGTTATAGATACCTGGAAAGCAAATTAAAGTACAACAAACAGGCTATTGTAACATCTTAACCAAAGAAAGTAAAGTAACACTCCATCCCATAACATAGGGAATATGTAAACAAAAAAAGTGAAATAAAGTTACAACATATTTTCTTGGTTAATCATCATCTGGTCGTTTTGTAAATTTCCCATGCAATGATTTCCTCATAATTTCAATAACAAAAGTAGCAAATCAACAAGAACAATAACAATCTATGCATTATTCCCAATTAATTTTGGGATCAATATCCTTTTTGGTTATCTTATTCGGTTTATTGCTACATGTTGAAACACTTCATCTAAAAGCTCAAGCTGTAGAGACAACCATCCGAATATCATTTAAATCTCGTTTTCAACAAATCTCCTCGTATAATTTTGTTTTATTTTCTCCCTCCATGCACAATTTCATTAAATTAGTGGCACCGTGACTTGAACCCAAGTCCTTTGTATGCTAAGATAACATATTGAGCCACTTCATCTAAAAATTTAACTTGTTAGGGAGGACCATATATATCATTTAAATCTTTTTTCAAAACTACGTCTACTAAAAGATCCAAAAACAACTAGATCTTAGCAACTACAATTAGTCATTTAGTTTTGGTTTACCCCTCCTTGATCTAACTTATTCTACTAAAATGGAATCACTCTTATGAACAAGAGTCTTATTGTTGTCTGTCGAATGCATCAATCGCCTAGGTTATCCTTCCCTTAATTTATCCTCAATCAGCATCACCTCCACTTGTTGGCATGTATTCTTATTTCTTACCTTATCTATTATAGTATGACTACACATCCATATTAACATCCTTATTATTCTTATTATCTTAGACATTTTGTCCTTCAACACCCTAACATTGAATATTTTAAACCATGGTGCAGTAATCTGAAGACAAATTACAAAATTAAAGAGAATGTCCACAGGATACTACCTGTTCTTCTCTGGTAATATTACATCGATCAGCACATATTTCTGCACAAACACCCATTCCAATATCATTATAGACATCCCATAGACCATCTTTGAGCATGCCATCAATAATACTATCATGTCCTAGCCGAGATCCCGTCCTGTTAAAATGCATTGAACAACATGGTAGTCATGATGCTTGCCTCAAGAATAAGACCAAGGTAGACTATGTTAGACTCGAACAGGAAGTTAGAGCTTTTCCATAATAATCATCGATAAGAATGGAAAATAATCAAGGTTTTATAAGTGATGGACTATGATCCATCTCTTGATACATCAAGGCCATTCAGAAAGTTAACCTACAAAAATTCCTTTCTTGCAGTAGACAAAAGAATAAAATGAGATCTATTGATATCTGTTATTATAAACCATTAGGCTAACCTTCCTTGAGGGAGATACTTTGGTGCATTAGACATGCTTTCCATGCCACCAGCTACGACTACATCATTTGTACCTGATTCTATTGTTTGTGCTGCAATCATTGTCGCTGGGTTGAAGAACAAAGATAGTAACAAATTATTTAAAAGTTTTTTCAACTATAAATCTGAGCTACTATAGGACTGACTGCCAACCTTTCATTCCAGAGGCACACACTTTGTTAATGGTGGTGCATATAACAGAATTAGGTATACCAGCGCCTAATGCGGCCTGTCTGGCTGGGGCTTGGCCTAAATTTGCACTAAGAACATTTCCAAAGAAGACTTCTTGCACCAAAGATGGATCCACATTTGCTCTCCTAAGAGCACCTGCAAAGGGCAGAAATTCAAACCTGACGTATATGCTTCGGTCAGATCTAGCAGGCATACAGAACTCTATTAATTCTTACATTCAATAGCTATAGAACCAAGTTTTGTAGCGGGCAAAGATGAAAGGGAACCAAGGAAGCCACCCATTGGCGTTCGAGCAACACCAACAATGCAAACATCTGAGTGGAATTCATTAATGGATTAGCTCAATCCCCAAAATTGAACCTTTGCAATGTATAATAATGTAAAAAACACAAACTGTCACAACTGATTAAAATCTTCCAGAAAAGAACATATGATTAATGAAACTTGAAAACAAATTTAAGGGTCCAATAAACGCTAATTTATAAATTATTTCTCTAGCCCAGATGCTAACTGTGTGAAAAAATGTAGCACCTCTAGGTTTAATTGAATTATCTGCTTTTGAAGCCATGGAAACCTGCAACTGCAACAAACCAAGAAAAATACTCTATGGATCAACAAAGAAGATGATCTGAAAGAAGGAAAATGAGATGATAATCAACATATATTCTTAAAACATCAACAAGTAATTACATCAAAGGCTTAACTGACAAGTGTGACGACAACAATGATAAATAATAAAAATAAACAATTTTCAAGAAACATTCTGATAGTGATCATACTTAAACCAAAGTACCTCAATTTCCAGCAACCAAATCAGCTCTCTCTGGGAAACTTCTTTCTAATTTCTCGACCGGTTAATGGGTTCGTAGAGGAGCTCGCTGACGGTAGCAGTGTATAGATAGGCGTGCCCAGTTGGCAAGTTGAAAATTGCAATTTATCTTGGGAGTCGAGCCATTTGTTGTATATCATCATCCAAATTGACATGATTTAATCGGTGAAAAATTATTTGTTTTTTTAAGGGTAATGCTACATGTACACACACTTTTACACAATTTTTTATACCTCTCACATGGAGGGGAGTCCACGATTATTTTATTATGTGTGGGTCCCCCTCCATGTGAGAGAGGTGTAAAAAATTGTGTAAAAGATTGTGTACACTTAGCATTATTTTTTTTTTAAACGGTTCGATAACATGTTATGACGTAGCACAATATAAAATTGATATATTTGCATCCTGATTCTTATCTTGTATAGTAGAAAGGCTCGTTAAGTTGATAGTCGTTTTAAAAAATTAAATGAAATTGATTTTATGCATATAGATAATTAATAATTAAATATATAGCTCTTGTTTGGTTTTGGCGAGATTAAAATTAATTTTAACTCATGTTCTACTATGTTCATAATTTATTAACTTTTGTTAAAAAATTTAATTTTAATCTCACCCATCAGAGCCATAATATATCACAAAAATTAATTTATAAATTGCTGATTTTACGTAAATAATTAAAGACACTTTTTGTTAAAAAAAAATTCACTTTTAGCCCTTCTCTTGATTTCACTAGTAAAGAAAAATAGAAAAAAAGCAATTTTCCCAATTTTCACACTCATGGAGTCCTAGTACTAGACATCGGTTGAACTCAAAGTTTCGCTTCTAATCAAGAACTCCTCACTTTAATTCTTTTGGTTATTCTCTTGAAGTGAAATATTCGAACAATTCTGTTGGGACCCGTAATGCGTAACACATTGAGTTGAATAATGATTCAATCATGGCTTCTCAATTTTACATTCGAGCTAAATGAAAATGACCCAATCATCATGCTCAGTTGATTTTAGAATTGTAAAAATGATTGGGTGGCCAAGGCACGGGGACTTGGTATCGCTGCACGAAATATGCAAAAGATAATCAACTAGTTTAGTTCCGACGAGCTCACATTCGGAAATACCCAAATCCTGGAACCAGAGCATGGCCGATTCATTCTCTTTTATAGGTAACATTATAAACGTAGAGCACCAAAAATTCGAGCATTAGAACACAGCATAATTATGAAATACTCTTGATGTTGTAAGTACCAAAAAAAAAAAACTCGATATCATCACACTCTCCAGCAAGTGACAATTATAAATACTTGGTAGCAAAGCTACATAATATGAGCCAAGAATTATAGCTATACAAAAACTTGACTTGCAAAATATTAAGAAGGCATTTGCTCCATTTCAAGACTGCACAAATTCTCTGTTTTTTTTTTTTTTTTTTTTTTTTTTTTTTTTTTTTTTTTCATGCTTTTTTTTTTTTTTTAATCTTTCGTGCCGTTACGTGTGTGTATATTTAGGGGTTTAAATGTGTTAATTATTCACCAACTATTGAAAATATTTCATATCTTTTATAACCTTTAACATTTTAAATTGTTTTGCACCAATGTATATATACATATGTATTTGAATTTTTGGAAAAATAAAGTGGGTCATTAAATAAATTTTATTCTTGGTCCCTATAATTTATTTACTAAACAAGATAAGAAAATAGCAACAATAATCCTCAAATAGAAACTTATAAATTCTCTTTTACCTCTAATTTTTTTTTTTTACTTATAATTCGGTCTTTTCGAAAATAACGTGAGNATATATATATATATATATATATACACACTTGATGATAGGACAAAATACCATTGACAAGAAAAGAAGTTTGATTCTATAACAAACAACCTTAGACAGTAAGATCCTCACCTGAGTCTAAATCATCAACAATGGACTTGGAGACGGATTCAGAGTGTTTAACACCAGGGCTTCCTCCACTTTCGATGGAGGAACTACTCTTGAATACACCATGTTGTCTCTGCTTCAGAGTTTTCCCTGAGGTTTTTGTTCCTTTTCCTCGAAATGATGGAGATCTGTCAGTCAATTCCAGTACATAAGATAATGAAACAACAGATATATTCCAAGTCAACTATTTGCAACTAATTTTGTTGGATGATCTTCGTACGCACGATACTCGCACAACAATCGCACGATACTCGCACAACAATCTCACGATACTCGCACAACAAACGCACTCAAGAAAAATGCACGCGCAAACTCAGAGAAAGAGATGGCCAATTGAATGAGAAAAGATAGTATTCTATCCAACATAACTATATGTAACTGTAGATTGGCAATGCTACAAGAAGGTAGAACTTACACTCCTTTAGGACAAGAACCCTTTGTGGAATTTGACTGCTGCAATCGTTTAGAAATCATGTTAGATCTAAAGTCATCATCATTGCTCAAAGGTAAACCAGAACCAAGCAGAGCCAAGAGTTTATTATAGCGGGGGCATAAAGTATAAAAGTTCCGAAATACTGTGATAATAAAGAATGTTAAAATTTCACAATTTTTCTTTCAATAAATTAAATTGTTCTTTACATGTTTTCATACTTCGAAATGCTACATAAGGGCCTCATTATTAATCATCAAAGATCCATTTGTAATTATGCTTTTCGAATTTGACATCGGAGATTAGCATTGTAATCCATAATCAAAATTCTTAATCTAGGATTTGTAAGAAGTTGTGCAACATCAATCCCGCACTATTTGATTTGTTTCAGTCATCAATTTATTCTGTAGACAATAATATTTTTATACCATAATTGTTGCATATTCAGTCCAACAAACCAAAATTAAGACATTATTTGAATAAAATAGCCACGGTATGGAAAAGATGCAATAAAAATTCTGAAAATACTTAATCAACACACTTCAAACGAACAATTATCTAACTTGAAAGCAAAACTAGAAAAATAAAAAAGTTACAGGGTACGAGAAAGAAATAAACAGAATTTTAGAGTTTTGACATTTTAGCAGGAGAGGATTTTATATGTATTTTTTACTCAAGTCCAGTGGGAGCAGTGGACCCCACCATAAATCCGCCAGTGCATATACTTCATATTAAAAAAGATGGTGTACATAAATATTTAGACCTTCAAAGCTTTTTGGCCATTGTCAAGAAGTTCCCAGAGCTCCTTCTCTAATCGAAGAACTTCCACATCTCCATCATCGTATGATATCTTGAAACAAATTAATAAGAAAAACACAGTGAGAGATGAAAGGCTAACAATAATAAAGTTGGTCTCTATTAATTGTAATGAATGAGGCAGCAAAAATGCAGCTTACCACATGCTTCTTTTTTTGGGAGTCAAAAGACTTGACAACACCTTCATAGAACCTGTACAGACAGCTACAACATAAACTCTGTATCTTGCAGCAGCATAATTGTTACACAGTCAAGAAGCAACAATAGAAAACATGTTGCAATGTTATTAATGATTACCAGCACTCTTGAGTTGTAACCTATGGAAACAGGTATTCTACTTCTGGGGTAAAACAGGAACTGAGAAAACATAGCAAATAGGTTGACTCACACGTAAAGAATGATAGATATTTAGTGTGTGATTATATAACATGGAGGTCAATAACCATGACTGAAGGAAGTGTCTTATTTGAAGCTCAGTGAAGCATGGCTACCGAAGCTGCGAGAAAGATCTCTATATCTTTATTGGCCATTAAGATGAAAAAGGTACATAAAAGCCATTAAGATGAAGTTTTTCTTCCTTTTTGACATGAGATTATTGTAAACTTGACATTGCGACCATTCAGGGATCCAAAAATATCAAAGAAATTCCTTGAGGGGTAAGCAACATTGGGGAGAGATTTCAAAATTATATTACCAGAAAATGTTGTCTGAAGCCTAACATCCTATACTTAAAATCCCCTTTTTGACAAAAATGACACAAAGATAATTATTTTTTAACTAAATCAAGAAGCACTCACATCTTATCCGTCGGCCACCAAACTTTGATTCTGCACCCAACCAAGTCCTCTGTGAAACTTCCATTGTCCTTTGATGAGCATTAAAAGAGAAACAAATACCGTCAGAATTGAGTGACATAATCAAAAGAGAAGTTGCACAAATTTGGCATTCTAAACCCTAAAAGAAACCAAGTAAATTTAACCTACAGCCATTCTGGTTTTTAGTTGGTTCTAAAAGGTTATGAAAGTAAGTTACTGGTTCTCATATTATTTAAACAATAGCATGGACCCGAAGATAGTTTGATGCTACTAATCAAAGATCATTGTATATTTCATTCCTCATACCGTGGTTTGCCAATGTGATGCATGTTAAATCTGTATGCTTAAGACTCTTTTAATATGCCACATGACGTTAAACTACTTATGAATACCAAGCAAGTTCTATTTACAAGCACAGAACATTATACAAGAAAATGCAGAAAAGATAGGCCATGCTAACCTTTTCCAGCCCAGAAACACTTCTCTGTTCTTGCCTCTTTATCGATCTGGATTTGGAATTACTTATCAGACTTTTGCTCTCAGTCTCCACAACTTTCTTAGGCTTCTGGAAAATTGAAGGAAATATGAAAACCCACACAAATCATCAATGAAACATAATATGCAATTGGCAATTTCATCAGCATAAAAGCTTACCTTAGCATCATGGGCTTTGCCATGATCTCCATGAGCACGTTTGCCCTTCTGCTTTGAGGTTGAGGAGTTAGATCTCTTCTTAGTATAAGAATCTAAGTCTGACTCTGCAGGTATCATGATATCCTCCATAGATTTATCTTCTGAACCAGCTTGAAATTCCTCGTCCATTTTGGGAGAGCCAATAGAGATTCCCCTGTCATTAACATCAGTTGGCCTTATAGAACCCTTTGAAGTAATCTTTGGGGGAGATTTGTAACCTTGAGCAGATGATGATCTCCTCCGTTTTGTTACAGAAACATCCTTTGATTCACTACTGATCGTTTTCTTCATCTGACACTTATGACCACTTCTTCTTCTTTTATAAACATGTTCATGACCCTTATTAGACTCAAACTGTCCAGTTGCACCTAAATTATCCGTACTTATTTCCTTCACAATTTTCAAGATATCAATTTCACTTCCCACTCCAGCTGGTGCAAACTCATCAGTCACCTCTCTTTTCCCCTTTACTCCCTTTGCTTTCAAACGTTTCACAAATTTTCCTAATTGCATCTCGCTGCTGTCTGTTTCACTGTCCATGATCTCATCCTCAGAAATTTCTATATTAACCTGAAGTTAGCAAAATGCCATTGGATTAAGACTGTCAAGCAGTGTAAGAAACAGTGCTAATATCATTTATCCATTAGGTGGCAGTATTTTCAAACTTACAGTTCCATTAGCTTCAAAATTTAGTGACTCAAGGTGGGCCAAGATGCTCTTATCAACCAGACATGTCTTCTCTTCACCAACCTAGTACAAATATAAGAAGTATGCATGTCATGCACATTAACCATAAAAACAAACATAGAGATCATAATCAGGAGATTTTATAAGTCAGATTGAACTAAATGAACTATATGATCAATTGTTGAACAGGAAAACTTCTCGTACTCGAACAAAACATTTCGTTGAACTGACTCTATCTACCCGTCACCTATCTATATACTTCCAAATTCCAATGTGCGCATGTGCAGGGATTTGACGGGTTGCAAGAGGATGGGGAAGAATCGATCTTCTGGAAATTTTAGTTCAGTTTTCAACTTTTTGCAAAGCTAGCAAGCTACTGAAAGAGGCCTAACTGGAGGTTATGTAATATAGGTGATAGTGAAGACAAAAAGTTCCTAATAAACATTACTACAGCATAGAAAAATACTAAAACAACCATATCATATGAACATGATTTGCATCTACTCAACAGATATCAGAATCTAGCCAAAGCCAAGCAATGGTAGCAAATTACTTTTCTTCTTTTGAGGCATTCTATTAATGAATGCAGATCAAAGAAGGTTCATTTTCAGATAAAGGGAGTTTGAGCATACCAGCAGGTCCTTTCCTTCTTTCTTCTCAAGTGGTCTGTATACAGTTGGAGGTAAGACCACTGATGCACCTAGGTCTTGAACACCTTCATTTTTTGGAGCTAGTCGCACAACGATTGACAGCCCAAGGTCGCAGACAACGTAGGAGTTCTGTAATATTTAACATTCAGATCAAATGGCATAAAAACTACACTAATCTCATTAGTTCTCTAACAGACATTAATTCCTTTTTTTCCTGGAGGTACAAGTTCCACTGTCCTTTTTCCATTCTTGGCCCCTCATCTGTGCTTATATTGTACATGGGAAAATATTCTTTCTAGTTAAAATGAAGGGATTTAAAATGCTGCAAGGTGAAATAAACATGGCAGTATCTAATACCCAACCTTGGACTTGATAGCATCAAAAGCATCTTCTGAGCGCTTGATACACAGAAATATAGAATTTAACAAAGAAATACTTTCTTTCTCCTTGCTAATACTTTCATCAGATTTTCCATCTTCATCTTCAGTTACCAGCATAGACAGGAGTAAATACAATTGCCTAAAATGGATACATGTCAAAAATATATTAATAGCTATAGCAAAAGCATGGATGAAGAAAATAAAATTCACTGAGAACCAATTATCATCACAAATATTTCAAAAATATTCACATCAAGTTTATTTATACGGAGATGTATTTTTACAGCTTCAGCTTTATGGTTCCATTCATGTGCTACACAAAATTTTGATGATTGATTTTACTAACAAGATCCACTTCTTTGCAGAAACCAGTTTAAGAAATTTATACGACATTCCCATAATCCCATGCCACAATCTAATCTTTAAAATTTTTATGTACTCACGTGTTTATTGACAAAGATTGTAGTCCTGTTGTGTGTTTGACAATTTACAGAGGATAATCTGTTTCAGAATATATATTTATGTATATATTTTCACAAAGACTATCTCTCGTAATTTCTTAGACAAGTTTTCACAGTGCAGATGCCATGAGATGCTTTTTTTTTTTTTCTAACAGCATAACAACCCAAAAGAAAGAATATTATCGGTAGTGGGAGTATCATATTCAAAATAATCATTACGAATGTTAAATCCAGTCATCACAAGAAGAATTCAAATTAGTGAATCCAAAATTAGCCATTACAAACTGCTTTTGATCTCTATTAGTTCCATGTGGATCTCGAAACATCATTAGAAAGGATAATTGTCAAAATAAAATACCTGTAAATAGTTTCAAATGCTTTGACATCTTTGCATTCATCAACATTAGGAAAAGAAGAATGATGAGCAAGACCATGGACCACGTATGGAAGAATGTACTCAGGATAAAATGGTGCAGAAGTTGCATCGCAGTGTGTAGAAACCTGGCGTGCCCTTTCTTGCTTACACATCTGTATGATATCATTCAACTTGCATTTGTTCTGCCAAATATATTAGGAGATAAGAACTTTATGAAGGCCTCATCTAATAAATTTGGGAGATGTTTCAAAGTTACATAAAACTGTGAATGTGCTTCCAAGTGCGAGAGACGTGTCAGTTAAGTGTATTACACCTCTTCAAAATCAAGCTGCCAATATCCATAATCAAGTATGAAGGCACAAGCATACTTTGGGTCTAAAATCTGGTCCTTTACATATTGATGAACCTTATTGAGTAGTAGCTTTTTTACCTCAGGGAAATTAGTCTGCACAAATTCAAGGTGACTGTAAGAAATTGTTTTTGTGTAACAGCCTTGAGAAATTTCATCGCATGAACAGTGGAATACTGTCAGGTAAATAAAACTCTACCTCAGAAGTTCTCAAGGTCATATAAAAGACATCAACAGGAATTTTATGCTCCCAGTGCCTTGATAGACGAAGAACAGCTTTTGCTGCAGCAAGCTTCAAATGAGCCTTATACACTAAACAGAAATGTACAAAAGAGATCGACATCAGCATCAGAATCAAAAATCATAAGCACAAATTAAAAGAAGGTCACCACTATAAACACCATACAGCATCTGCAGCAAGCTTCAAATGAGCCTTGTCAACCAAACTGAAATGTGTCAAAGGAAATCATTGTTAGTCGCCAAGATATTAAACAATTCTCCAAAATTTACACACGTCACCTCTAAAAGTTCAAAAAACCATAAATCTAGTTACCTTGATGCAATGTGTCTTGAGGTTTCTCCAAAAGTGAGTATATTTTTTAGAATTTCCACAAGGTCATCAATACCAGAACAAAGATGAGCATCTTTGACGGGTAAATAACTCTTGATCAATGTTTTGAGACCTGGGGGGGGGGGGGGGGGGGAAGCACCTTTAGTGAACAAAGCTCACTTCTGTCTTTCCAACATCCATTCACTTCATCGCCCGATATCTGCAGGTGAAAGCATGTTTTATATGAAATTCTGTAAACAAGAGAAAACAAGTAATGGATCACAATAGCATTTCATTTCAAACGGCGTACATGGCTGCTCTCCAGTATGTTTTTCTTTATGAACTCTTCAACCTTGCTTTCTCTAATTTTGAACACTGGCATAGCAATCCGTGCTATGCATCCAAGAGATTGTAATACAGCTGGCAAATGTGACTTCTCCTCAAGCATATCAACAAGCCTCTGTCCATTTGAAACTCAAATATATTATGGCTATCATCAGCATCTCTTGAAAAAGAAAAATAAACTTCGGATGGAATTGAAAAGCACATGCAGATGAAAACTGACAATGTCTGAAAAGGTAATTAGAAACCTTGTAGAGAACAGATAGTGACGTGAAATCATCATCTTTTGTTACAGATGCAAGGGCTTGAACTGCATACTTTGCCTGCCTTCGGCTACCCTCAATGCATATTCGCTCCAGCATAAGGTCTAATGATCTACAAGGAAATATGGCATTTCAAAACAGAAATCAAATACATGCATAAATTACAGATCAATTAATCAGAAGTTTTATATTAAAACCTCGATGAAACTCCCAGCTGTTCTCTGATGGTTCCCCCAGCCATTGAAAGAATATGCAAAACACCTTCCTTATATATTTCATTGTCGTCCTCAAGAAGATGTATCAAATCTTCTTCAATCCCACCAAGCAGCAAAGGACTGAAACGTACAAGAATCTGAAATTCACCATAGAATATGAGTAAAGATTCTAACATTACCAGGAAACAACAAGAGTAGGAAGATTATGAGACCAATCTAAAAAAACTTCCATATATGTTGAATATTAATCCAAAAAATTAAAACTCACAAGTTTTCCATTGTTATTCTATTTATTGATAACTGAGTGGATTGACCATAATTTTCAAGCTGAGATTCCTAGCAACTATTACAAACTGTAGCATCACTTAAATATTTTGTTCGCAAATAATCGTGGCTATAAACATGTTATATTCAGGAAAAAGATATCAACAGGAAAGCACATATATCATGGCTGAAAGATTGGTAAAGTTGATTCAAAATAAAAATTTGTTTAAAGTATAGTGAAATGTCAAATTCAGGAGAAATGAAAAAGACACCAAACTGTGTCAATACTATATACTTCACCATTCAAGTTCAGCGTACATGTGTGTGGGAGAGAGAGAGAGAGAGAGAGAGAGAGAGAGTAAATTTTATACCACAATTAGAGTCATGCTAGATGAAATTAACTCGGTACTTCCCGAAGATTTCAGTACACCAGCCTCCAGAATAAGTTCTTTGACATGCTCCTTGCTGAAAAGCAAATACGAGCATTTTAATGAGAGAGAACTCAGAAACTCGTAGATTTGATGCTCCTGACCGAGGGCCCTCAGTAAATCATCCTGCAGGAGAATCAAGATTGTCTGATAAATCATGGAACATAAATTTGCTATCATTTTAAACTTAAGGGCATCCCAAAAAGCTGGGGAGAAAAGAAGAGACGGATCCCAGCTCAGATTCTGTTTAGTGCCTCACCCGTGAACTACCAGCTTGAAGAGAGCTAGTGTTTGGATCAAGAAGGCTTGTCATAATTTTCCAAACATTAGATTCCTTTAACTGATCAAGAATCTGAAAATTTTCCTCCGCACTTGCAGGATCAGCGAAAAAGTGAGACATAGTGCGGAAGCAAACATTAACTTTCTTTGGGATCTCAGTAACATCACCTTCCTGCATTTGGACAAGAAATAAGATTTAAATTAAATCCTGCTTCTTAAATTTTCCTCTATTTTCAGATTTTAAAAAAATTAAATCAGAATTGTGTACCTGAAATGACTCTCTGTGGTCAAGGTACTTGAGCATTTCTTGTTGTAATCTGAAACGTGATTAAAAAAAATACCATGTAACTTGCAGCATAAGATACTATGAGTTTAAAAGAAAACTAAAGTTGGTCTATGAACACCAGATAGAAAATGTGTAATCAAAACCAAGCACTGGTAACCTTTGCTTCTGCTCCAATATCTTTTCAAGAGCCTTAACCTCTGCCTTTTCAAATCCAGAGAAGATTCTAACCCAATTTGCTACTTTGTTTTTGACTGAAAAATCAGTTGGGAACAACGATAGGCATAGGATGGTTTCAATTGTGTCTGATCTGAAAAAGAAAGATCAAAGCTTCAAATCTAATACCAAACATATCAAAAAACCATTCATCTATAAATATTGCGTTCACAGAATCAATTCTACAAACATTGCTGTGACTTTTAAATAGCTTCACTTCTCAAGTGCAAGGTCTAATAAATGAAATCATTTACTAGCAGTGTCAGGTTTACATTCCCTAAAAAATTTCAATTCTTAAAAATCAACTAAGTCTGGGACTAGTAAGTCAATAAGGTACCTGAAATCTTTATCGTAAACACATCTCAAAATCTTCCCAACGATCCAATCATATTTATCGTTCTTTGTCGAGTAACTAGAATGATTTAGACAATTAGCCCGGAATATGTCAGCTAGCCTCTCCATCGTATACCTTTTAACAAGAATCTGGAGTATGCAGAAAAAGTTACCAGAATACAAACAAGGTAATTGGCAAAAACTAATAACCAAAGAAGTGCGCAGTCAGAGATGGTTACACATACAGATTTATCTTGAAGCTGTTCTGCAACCAGCTTGATAGTCCCAACAGGGATAGATGTTAGGGAATGACAAGCCACATCACAAACCGCAGCGACAACTTCTTTACGGACATTTTCATCATGGTCTAACATTCGGTCACAAAGCGCAGCTAGAAAGTTTTTTGCCACATCAGAATGAGAGGAGAGATATATTTACTGATAAAACAATTCAAAAGTTCTTACAGATCATTTGAGGGGCTTCAGCTCTATATGGATTAGCCAGCAGACAAATCTTGACGTGCTCAAGGACAGACATTTTGACCTCAACCGCTCTATCTGTCAACATTTTCAAAAACACCAAAAAGATTGGCTGGAATGCTTCAGAGATATCAGATCCTGGCAGAGCAAATAGGTCCCCAACAAAGCCGACCGCTTTTAAACGAATATCCAATCGATCATTCTGTTGATATCAAAATTTGAAAAGACACGCTATTCATTGAATACGAGTAGAGAAAAACATATGCAGCACATTTTTCTTGAAAATTTATTCAAAATGAGTTACAAATTACCAATTTGGACTTGCAGAACGGAAAACGCATACTTTAGAAAAAGTGAAAAAGTATAAAACATTTTATCTTTTATGCATCATCTTCAAAAGCAACTCTAACATGGGTACCATATAGCAAACCTCAAGCAATAAAAGACGTTTCTTAAATGTTATAATTCATGACACAATTTTCTGAGGCCAAAAGGGAAACTGTAATCTAAAACACTACAAATAAAGATTCAACAGCTTAGTTTTAATCTGTCTATTCAGCAAATAAATAGTGTTGTATCTATCAATATGTATGGTCTTGTCGTTGTGCCAATTTCCTTAGTTGACAATATTACTTTTATGCTTGGCGGCAACTCGACTGGGGGAATACGATACCATAAGGAGGAATTAATAGAACTTCAAATTATACTACCCGAAAGAGGAGGTATATGGCAATAGCCAAGTTTACGATAGGAGCACTTGAGGTACACCTTATACATGAATGGGAGAGATCAATCTGTCAGATGACTCTAGAATGTGCCAATATTAACAAACTTCAAAACATACTCCCAAGTCCCAATATGTGTCCCTTATGGAGTTGTCATACATTCAGATTGTTATAAAATATGATTTTTAGACACAGTTATTGGAAATTAGTTAATCGGTCCCATACTTAACCATTGAGTTAATGAATTAGATAAATTATCTATAATATAAGGTAACCAAAGTTTTAACAAAATCAAGCTAAAAACAATTTCAGCTGAATTGGACTAAATCTCTAGACTACTCTTTACAACAAGCAATTATGGCATGCCTTGAATTCTCTAGTGACTTACCATACGCTGTTAGAAGATAGCTCAACTACTAATAAGCAACTGGATTTTAGTTAGTAATATAGTGGCATTTCCATCTAGCCACAAGAGTGCTACAAGTCCCCCACGTGTCAGTATCGAAGCCAGCTCACACCACAAATGTCGCATTGGGCTGTTTGAGGTGCACTTTGACCTCGACGCGTGTCTTAAGGTAGAAGTCATTGAATATAAATAAACATGAATAAACACATGTCAGTGGTCATGTGTCAACTAAATTAAATGAATGGATAAAATTTGTCAGATATGATGATTGAATGTGATCGAATGGTCGCGTGCAGAAGAGGGTCATTAGTGTGACTCAGGTATCAGGTCATGTCTTATCTGAACAAGTGTCCCTCGGCTTGGATCAGTTTGTGCCATAAGATTCGCCCCGGGAAGCCTATAAATAAACCTTCCCCATTCAGTCTGAGCATTCAAATTTAATCCAAAAAGAAACTCTTTTGTCTTTCCTTTCCTCCCTAAAAGTATTATGTTGTCCTATTTCTTTTCGACAACCATTCTATTATTCAAGTTTTATTCCAATCAAGATGAACACGATCAAATTTGGTTCTTTACAATTTCACATTAATCTATTGTCTCCTTATTATACAAGGGTGTCCTTGTATAATAAGGACCTGAGTAACATAATTAAGTTTGCATATGCATATCTCCTAATTTATTGTGTGCAAGATGCTAGTATAAAATAAATATACCGAGTTTCACGGCAAATTGATAATTATTTAAGCGAGTAATTTCCCTAATTACAGCAAAATATGTTGATCTTAATATTCGCAAATATATATAGAGTCAATCACAACAATGAACTAAGAAATTGAAAAATAATATTCAGAGAAACTGAGAGAGAGAGAAAACCCTCAAGAAATTTGAGAATTGTTTCCAAACAGTTTCTATTAAAAAGCTAAGAAAAAGCCTCAAACTATATGTTTTTCTCGCAAGAATTTTTGAAAAAACCGATGCCTCGTAAAATAAACCTAATTCATTGCCAGTTGCCACAATTCATCCAGAAGCCATAGCAAGATTCCGAATCATGCATGTGCAAAATTGAACTTATAAACAACTTAAAATTTGCTTATACAAAAAAATGGACCAGAAGAGAGTAATTGAAAAGTGATTCTCACCTCTAACAGTTGCACGAGAGTGTCTTTCGAAGCAGGAGGACTCTCCAGCTTCGATCCGACCTCATTCAACTGCGGTTGTTTTTCAGCCATTTCAATTCACAAAATTCACTCGGAATTACAAATTCTTACGGTGAATTTGCTCCAATTCAAGCAATTTGATGAACTTCAGATGCACTAGAAGGATCAGAAATCAAAAAGTGTGTGCTCCATTTGCTTCTTGTTTGCGCATTAAACGGAGATTTTACTTCAGTGACGAGTATTTCAATTTCATGGTTTTTGGAAAATTTGGACTGCCTGCATGCTGAACCCACGTGGTTCACTTCATTTGACACGTGTGTGTTTATTATTTTTATATTTTAGTTTTTTCTTTTTGCTGAATTTCATATATTCTTTTGTCTATTTTATATGTTTTTCAATAATTGTATTTTTTATGAAATAGTAGAACTTGGATATATAGGTAACATATATTTAGGTAAAAAGATTTATTTAAATATAATCATTTCTTTAGTTATTCATATTTGTCGTGTAAAATCCGTTTGGTTAGTTTTCTATTTTGATAGGATTTTCTCAAAGTGCGAATAAAACTGACACCTTCCTAGCTCTGTCATCTGTGTCATAAATATAAGTGTCATTTCAAGCGAAGGAACGACAACCTAAATAGTTGAATTTTTTAAATTTATTCACGAGGAAAAAATCGAGAATAACGACAAAAATCATTATTGATATGTGGACAAAATGTGTAGATAACGTGACCACCTTCTTGACATTCTTTTCTAAATACTCGACAAATTTTTGTTTGTCATTATTAATGACGACAATCTTCTCACACGATCCTACTCTTCTCATTGTTTAATGGATAATATTATTCATAATTTGTGGAGATGCATCGTAAACATCAATTGTTTAAGAGTGTCTCTTGAAAATAATCCATGCAAAACACAACTTTTCTTTTCATCTTCAAGTTTTATCCTTTTGAAAGGGTAATAATGAAAAACTATATTTCAAAATATCAATTATGCAAGATCAATACTATTTAACGAAGTTATCATAAACATTCATCGACAATTATGAACTTTGCCACTAGATCATGTCACACTTTCGTCGTACGAAAACTTGCAATTTAATTTTCTTTGACTTGAAGACTCGTTAGCAAATATATAACCTCAAGCAATTAAATCTCAACAAAATTAATTTGTTCCACATACCAAATACATAACATGATTAAAATTCATTAATAATATCCACGAGTGAATTTAGAAACACTCGATTCTTGAAAATGACTCATGGGGTATTTTTTTTTTTTTTTTAATTAGCAAATTTCACAAGGCTCTCCCAACATGAATGGAGAGGACAAACCAAGACGTTTGAAGAAAAGATAATTTGTATTGATAAGTGTATTTTATACACTTACTCAGGATCTTAGATAACGATATTTGATAGTTCTTTAGACAAAATATATCCTAAATTATTGTATTTTATGTTATATTGGAAAAACTTAATGGTCAAACAAGAAATTAAAAGAAAGAAGCGAAAAATGGTAAAAATGGCAAAATTCAAAGTTTGAGGATCAAACTGTAATTATTCAGTAGTTGATTCGGACACAAGAAGATACTTTGAATATTTTTAGGGGACAATTGGATAGAATTAGAACTCAAAAAGGAATAAAATATTATCACAATACTATCAAAATAAATTTTAAATAGCACAAATTATATTCCAGATTTTTAGTCGAATATTGAGACCCATTTTTTGCATAGTAAACGTCCAAATTGGAAAAAACATATTTCTATAAAAGTTGTAGACATTTGAACTAGTTTTCCAACTCACTTTGAATCGCCTCAATCGGATATCGGGAGAGAAAGTTATGATTAAAATACTGACTGCTGTACAAAGACAAAAATCCCCGCGCGAATGGAACTGTCCTTAATCGATTGGAACTCTTTTGGAAACTACTTTGGACATAATTTCAACCAATTTTCTAGTCCTACAAATACCTAACATCAGAATACATATGAGAGACTTCTCATATACGTACCATACTCCAATATTTGTTAATTATTATCATCAAAGGAGTAGAATTCATAGTTTTTGTGAGAAAATTGAAAGACACTTGCAAGAATTCAATCAAGTGGCGATTCAAACTTGATTTTTGGTGTTGAGTTCATGGGTGAGGGTCAGGGTCAGTCCGCTCCACCTTTGTCCTATGGTAATGGCTTCTCACTCTTTTCTGTGTATAAACTACTTTTTGTACTGAAAGCGGGGGCGTAAATAAGCGATTTTTCTGCTCAAATTAAGTGAAAGTCTGTGGAATAGAGTAGTTTTAGACTGCTGATGGATTTATGCATGGAGGATTTAGCATGCAGTAATTTGCTAGATGACCTGAAGAGGACTATAGCTTTGATTTTGAATTCATGCTGGACTAAAAATATTGCTTTCAGCCAATGCCAGTGGAAATAGTCTCTGTCACATTTTCTGGGATATTTAGTCGAAATCGATGGGCTTTTGTAGGATTTTAATGCTAAAAATCTCTTATAAATGGTAGACAATTATTTAGAGGTTCAAAAACCATAATTTAGAAAGGATATCAAGTGGTTATTCTTCTTAAGTTTAACTATTGTACTGAACTCTATGATTATGAATATGGCGATGTTGAATATGGTTAATCGGTGATTCGGTGGTTGCATTTAATTTGGTGTAAAATTCATAAAGGCCATATCGACTCAGAAACTTTTGTCTTCGAATGCATTTTGCGGCGAAGTTTTCTTTTGAAACAGAAATTCTGACTTTTATAATCTTTTCTAAGTCACCTACTTGGCATTTATCGCACCGCTACCAAAAATATTACCTAATGCACGTCACTGGTTTGTAATGTTGTTCCTATAAAAGTTTTGAGGTCCATGAGGTTATGTTTCTTTGCTTGCTTTAAGGGGTAGTAGTGCAAGAGTAGTGAATATTCATCTCTTTTGTATCTTCAGATTACTATGTTTCCCTTTCAAAGACCTCAGTCGATGAACATCGCTGGCCCTTCATGGTCGAATATTACCTCAGTGTATAAAGAAGAAATGCATGATGAGCCTCAAATTCCAACAATGATCACATGGATCCATGGTGGGTGGGAAGTTTATGTGGTCGGATCGTGGGATAATTGGAGAAAAAGGCAAGATTCATTGTTTTATCATCACCATTCAATTTTTTATTTCTAGTTTTAGCCTTATATATGAGAAAATTTTGCCAATAAGGTGGTTGGATCATGTTTTGCCTCAACCGGGTAGTAGTTGCTAAGGATGTAGTTGCTTTATATCTTCCAATTGATCTATCAATGAACATTACGGAATGGGGAAGAAGGATTTATGTAGTTGAGCTCAATTTATTGGTAACAAGGCTTAGTTTATTGTTATTTTATATTGTGAGGAGATTTTAAATGCTGTAATCTTTTTTCTCAGGAAGCGCATGAGGAGAACAGGGAAGGAGTTCGTCATTATGAGAAAAGCTCCTTCTGGAGTTTATCGATACAGGTTCATTGTTGATGGACAGTGGAGGTATGCCCCTGACATCCCGTGGGAGCTGGATGGAGCAGGCAATGTTTGCAATATCTTAGACTTGAAGGTACATATGGTGTTCTCCTCTGAATTCTGTCCTCATCGGTATTACTTATCCATGCACGAACTCGTTCATATCTTTGTTTGATTTCCAGTAGTTTATTTATTAATTTCTTCTTCTTACAAATTTAAAAGGTGTTAAAAAATAGCAACCTTTGTTTTTTTGGAAAAATCAACATTCATTGCCATCTCTCTCCCCTAGGATAATTGCTCTCTGTATCCCTCGAACTTTTGTTCTTTTCTTATTTGGCCTTCAGTATATGTACGAACTATTTAACTATTACAGACTTGTATTTTTTACAGGATTAAGAAAAGGTATTTCTGAAAGAAACATTTTTAGAAAGAAGTTGAATTTTACTCAGAAAAATGTGAATTCCCCTAGATGTGCTAGACGTTCGAATTAAATACTTTCTTCAGTCTATTTCTGACGGCACCCAGCACTGCTATTCAATGGAAAAATCGAAAATTTCTTTTGTGGATCTTATCAGAATTGGTAGATCAAACCATAGCCCCGCTGAGTTACACTTTCTTCAAATTCTCCATACATATGAATGATTGAGCTTGTTGGACGTTTACACTTGGCTATGAAGGAAGAACATATTTTTGTAGCTACCGGAAAAAAGAAGCAAAATGAGTAGATACTTAGAATTCCATCCTCGTGGAAGTGATTTACTTATTGAAGAAAATGGTGCTTACTGATTTCTGCTGCAGGATTATGTCCCAGATGCAACTGAGAGCAGAGCCAGTTTCGAGCACCCTCAATCTCCTGATTCCAGCTACAACAATGTGTGCCCTGGCCCCGAGGACTACGAGAAGGACCCACCAATGGTTCCTCCACATCTTGAGCATACTTTGCTGAATGCTCCAGCACCTCACATGGAGATTCCACCTCCTCTTTCAAAACCTCAACATGGAGTGTTGGACCATCTCTACATGCAGAAGGATATGAGCACCCCATCTGTGGTTGCACTCGGTTCGACTTCTCGGTTCCAGGCCAAATATGTGACAGTTGTGCTTTACAAATCGACACAGGGACGGGGTTGAAAATGTGTATCATAAAGACATAAACGGCGTGTACGAGGCTAATTTCTTATCTGAACATTGGTAAAGGCCATGTGTATATACTTTTAGTTTGTCTGGTAATAATGCATGGGCACCTAGCTTCTCAGCCCCTCAGTTCTTGTGTTCTGTTTTTCCTTGTTCTCTCCTTATCGACTTCTAATCAAGATTTTCCCTGGTGGTTGAGAAATAACTTTTTATTTTCTTGATATTTGGTTGTGGTTCTTGCCTTTAGTTAAGAAATAATGTTGTAAGTTTGACTTTCTTGACCTATGTCGAGAAAATTTAAAAAAAAAAAATTAAAAATATTTGTTGACCGTTGGTAAAATCTCAAAACCGTGGTTAAGAGTATACCAAATATGTCTTATGCAATCACCATGATAAATAAAGAGTATTGCACTAAATAATCAAACAAATTAGTTGGGGAAATATGTGTATTGAATTTTTAGACTAAAGATTGCATTGCATTGATAATTTTTTTTAAGGATAATAAAACAAAAGAAGAAAAACGTACCCTGTCCATATGACTGCACGCGAGCCGACCGAAGGTTTCCAAGGAATGGTTGTGTTTCGCGCGGGTAGTCGCTAACAATTGAAAGGAAATTCAGACGATTGTGTGATGGACAAACCTCTTGAGACAAAGTCCCAAAAAGTGGTGATTTATTGATGAGAGTTACAATTGGAACTAAACATAATGCTTTCAAGGGGTGCAAGCACACAAGAATTGAAAGAAGGATAATTAAAGTTAATCTAAGAAATTGAAATTACATATTCTCTATTTGAAAGTGTTTAATTCGGGGTCATTTTCTCTATGACTATTTTATCCTTTTATATTCCCATGATGATTCTGCGTGACAAATCGCTTGGAAACTGCTACCCATTTTCTTCATGGAGCCTAACTTGTCGTGGAATTGCCATCTTTAACTGCTGTCATTACTCGTTGTTCAAATGCCTTCAAATGGACTCCTTAAATCGTGGAATGTGATAATCGGTTCGATAACTATTTCAGTAACTTCTATTCTGGATGACCATAATATTTCATGTATTAAGATTTTGAGCGACTCGAAGGTTCGAGCGAAAACAAGGTTGTTGCTCTGAGCAACAGTGAGGCACTCCATTCATCCAAACTCTGGGCTTCATGCAGGCTTGGGCGATGATGTTATTGTGTTCGTGGGCTTTCTCTGCAATTACCAATAACCTCATTTGGGCCTTTATCCTGAACTCTCCAAATGGGCTTCACTCTTTAGGCTATTTAATTTGGGCTGTACTTTTAGTGTGTCAACAAGTTGTGATACATGTACATAATGATTTACATACACATGATGTTACGAGATATGATTGTGTCAGAATTTCTTCAACAAAATTTAAAAAAAAAAATTCACTATCTCTTTGACACCTCTATATGTAAATCATTAGGTAACTTTATTATATACAAGTAGCATTATTCTTCGAGAAATAGCTCTATTACCAACCTAATACTGGGAAGTAGTATGGTTTAACTGTATACTTTTACAACTAGATTGTAACTCCTTAAGGTATCTCCATTTTTCCCCCTCCATTTTCAGAATATTACAGAGACAGTTTTCCTAGTAGATTTGGCACATTGTATGCTGTATGAGATTTCAAAATTAATAAAACTATACATTGGATGTTTTTGTAAATGGAAATTTTTCATTCCATGTAATTTTCAATTTTTTTAATATTTTTTCGATTTCTTTTACAATTTTAGAAAATGAGATGGGAAGTTCTAACTCAAACCGTAAAAAGTACTGCCGTAAAAATCTCTCTTTAACTTTCTTTTTATGCATATTTAAAATATATACGTAAAACGTGCAACACACGTGCAGAAACTAGTTATTAAAAAGTGTTTAAAGATTTTGCCAAAAGCCCTATATTTGCCTAAACCGCCTCTCACTCTAAACTTTAAAAGCTTTATATAATTTTTCCTTTTTTTGTTGCTGGTTTTCTTACATTTATCTTAGAAATTAAAATATTTTCGCGTTCACTATTACGTAAGAAATGCCACCCCAACTTTAAGTCTTTGCTGTGGAGGGAACTGAGAGGAGTACCGAGCACATGATCTCCACTAGCATGTTTGGGTCAACAAGAACACTCCATTATGGCACAAGATGAAGAAGTTGTTTTTTGTAACCTAAACTAGTGCTGGTGCACCTTCTGTGCAAATATTGTGTGGGCAATTTTTTCTCTAGATCACTCTTCATTACACAATGCAATAAAACTGTAAAAATTAGTTTTAACCGTTGACTGACAGGGTTCTTTTTTACAAAAAGCTAGGAGGAAAAAATGAGAATAAAAAAGAATTTAATCCCATCAACTTGTGTTTTTCTATTTCTCTAGCTCTTTTCTCTACCCATACAAATACAATCCAGAAAAAGCCATAGTAAATGCAAAATTTCATGTCATGGCGTTTGGCCTTCGCCTTTTACCTTTCACTAGCTGAAATAAATTCCCACCTTTCAGGTTTTTTATGCACTTTTCAGGTTTGTTTCAGGCATTTTTGAGTGAACTTCTGTTGCTCATTTCATCTTCTCTCCGCAATTTTTCGTATCAGGAATTCATATAATGTTGTCTTTCAGGTGCGTAGAAGTTTCTTGATTTGATCGGTGTTCGGTTTGAATGCAAGTTTTTGTTGGTTATTGGATTTAATCATTATAAAAGGAAATTAATTTTCTTTTGAAGATTAAACCCAAGTAAATAATTGATTTTAGATCATCTTGAGATCATTGGATTTTTTTAAATCGTCACACATATGAATGAGATGAAAACCTTGAAGGGACTTTTAATGGCCTAGCAAAGCGCTTCCTCTTTTGGATCTTCTCCTTTATTCTCTTTAGGTGCTTCCCTTTTGAGAAATGTGAAAATGGGCCGACCCTAAAACTTGAGAAATGTGCCTACTGAGGGAATATTTATAATACTCAATTAGGGTTTTATAATTGCACAAATTTCCTTAGATTTCATTGCAATAGATCAATTAAGTCACACACTTTTATTAGAGCCAAGAGATGAACCTAATTGGATTCACATTACTCAAGCTCCAATAGATGTTTTTTATTGGGTCAACTCTTGACCAATTGAGATACATCTATTAATCCCGACTTATTATACCAAAACATCGAGATTGCACTCTCGAATCAAGTGATAGTTATGGAAGCAAATTATAATCCGATTACAGTATCCCTCGATTATCATTTCACAAGTCAACCCTCGTTTGACCGTCAATATGAACGTTTTGCCCTTCAACATGTATTACCTTCTAAGTCTCATTTTCATAAGGCGATCAAACCAAAACGTAGAGTCCAACAATCTCATCGTCGAACTATCGAGTTTAGGTTCAATTGCCTATATAAAATACTTTAGAGTGACAATGGTCTCATCATGATGATTAACAGATTCCACTATCTCAAGTATATGATCTCTAACTGTTTTGGCCCGATTCCCAAATCACCGAAATCAATCTTATAATTAAGACTTCACTCATTGCACCTCAAAGAACTTGAACTAGTAATTAAAAGTACATTACTCATTCAAGATTTAAGTGACTTGTTTGATAATCGAGTAGAGTCTCATTCAGAGAGGTCACAAATGAGTCATCCACGCAATCCCGTGCAATGTGCATCAAAACACATTATTGTTCTTATTCCCAAATTTAGACAAATCTCAATAAGAATAATACAATCTTATCAACATAAAGCATCCAATTTTATGTACCAATTTTGAACGACATATTTTATCACGTCGCGAATTGTGTCTCACTATACCCGAATCATTGAGTATACAATTTGACACATCCTATATAATCATGGAACCTTAGATAATTGTTTCAAATTGCAACACTCCAGTAATTCAACATTAATTCATAATGTCATTTTACAAAATACTACTTGAAAAGTGCATCAAACTAACAATTTATATGTTGCATGTTGATGGAGTTACTCGATGAGATTTGCAGAACTCAAAAAATCCACTTTCTATTTTTATTTTCTCCTTTTTAGTTTAATTTCAGTTTGGTTAACTCTGGTTTCTCTGTGTCTGGATATAATTCCTTTTTTGTGTACCATTTTGCGAAAGATAAAATCAATAAGGTCTCTAGGGTAGTTCAATTGTGTAGACTTTTAAGCTTTTATTCCGTGAAATTTAATGATTTCGAGGCTAAACAATTTTAGTTTTTACTTTTTTAGTAGATTGTTTTTTATCTCCCTCTTGAATTCTAATCCCAAGAGTTACTTGTAATATCCGTGTTTTATCTTATTGGTATATTTTAGCATTCTGTTTATTGTACCTAAACTAGTGTACCTTCTGTGCAAATATTGTGTGTGTACCTTTTGTGCAAATATCGAGCACGTGCATGCTAGCATTCATATTTTTTATCATTTAAGTTCGTTCTTATCTAACGGTTTAAACTTTTAGATAAAATTGTTCAATAATAATTGATACATGTAAAATAAAAGAGTTATCTAAGTTAATTACGTGGCAACTCCAGTCGAGCAATATTTTTCTTTCTTGATTCCAATGTTCCCAACAAAGAAATGAGAGGCATGAATTGACTCAAGTAAAAGTTTCTTCATATGAGGATCCTGCAAACCAATTTCCCAAGAGAGTAAGAAGTAGCGATAGCGAGGGGAATCAGAATCTTGAAACTGGTTATTGTAGTGGCCCTGCTATGATTTTGGATAGTCAGGTTAAAGTAAAATCACAATGCCCGCTAGGAAATCCTTTTATTGCACCTGAGCCACAGTCTGGAGAATCGTAACAAGTAGGGGCAGAGCTAGGAGTGACAGAAAAAAAAATCGAAAGAAATTTTTGTTTTTTACACTAAAGATTAAATGGGCTTGGGGGCAGGGGCTGGGGCTGGGCGGGTCGAGGCTCCCAGCCCTGCCTCCCCTCCCTACACGTCACTCACAAGTCAGTCAGAATATTGAGCTTCTTTGTGAGGACAGCAGCATGCGAGGTTGCTGGTTCAGGTG